TAAACTAAAATTAAACTAAATAAACTAACTTAACGTAACTAAGTACTACGTACGTACTACGTTAGTAGTTAGTTACGTTAGTTAGTTATTATTGTATATAATTATTTTTTGGTATTTTTATTAGATTCTCCTATTTTTAAATAATAGACTCTCCAAATTTCAAGTAATTTAGATTTGTAGAAGAAAACCTAAAATTAAAATATGAAATACAATCGTGACCATTGGATCGGTCTAGATTCAATCTAGGCTATTGGGTTTACACTGTAGCTATCAACATTGGGTTTAAACTATAGCTATCAGCTTGTGGGCTAACAAGCTGTTTGCCCTATATATATGTTAACCCATTTCCGCTTCTTATTTGTGAAACCTTGTATGCATCAATGACCATGGAGAAAATATTTTAGAGGAATGAAGGGTTCAATAAAGATGGAAGGATTTTCTTTTGTATGTAATGCTTGCTAAATTTGACACTTTTAACTTTACCATAGCAGTTTTAAATATTCAACTGTTCAATAATTTTTTTTTTTTTGGGCAGGAGCCTGAACCAATAGATTGGGAAAAATATAGGAAAGGGATCGATTCTCACTTGGTGGACATGTACAAAGAGGCTTATGAAAGTATGCTCCTCTCATTAGTTATTCAGTGTTTCTGAATATATGGAATATTATTTTTCTAATCATATGGAATATGATAAGAACTGAATTATTGCGTGCTGCATAATTTTGATGATTGCTTCTTTCTTTTAGTTTGCTTTCTGATGTGCTTATCAAGGTTTAATGCCTCTTTGGTTAGTGAGTTATACCTAAATCAGAAAAGAACTTCCCTTGGAGTGAATAGTTCATAGTTTCTTAATTGATTTAATGTCCTTTAGGGGCATATCATTTGGGCTTATGTATTCTATCTAGGGTTTTTGCGCTATATCGTTTTGTTAGTTGCAGATGATCGTGAATGTCATGTGTTGTTTCATTGAATGGACAATAAACATGCATTCAATTGCTGTCTTATTTTGAAATATGAATTTAGTAAGCGCTTGTAGGATCCTTGCAGGGTTCTAGACTGACATGAAGGTAACAAATACATATCTAATGAAATCTTTGGAACACAATTCTTGAAGCATACAAGTTTTGTCTTGTTTGGCTATTAGTGTATATAACTTGCTTAAATCAAATAGGCTCCCCAAGGTGATGACCTTTTAAATGCAAGAATCATGGTTAGGAGTATTCAGTTAAGACCTAATGTTGTAAGAGACAAAGATTGACTCACCTGTCTCTTTAGACTTTTGAATGTTGTGTGGCCCAAGTCAGGCCAATTTCTCTCATATTCCAATTTATTTTTTGGGCACATTTTTTCTTTAGTATTTTGTGTTTAGGCAGGCCTGTAACATGAAAAGTGAGTTTGAGGTCATGTAGTGTCTAAGTTATGTATCATTGAAGAGTTTGAAAATGAATAAGATTCTTAAGAAACTACGCTTTGTGAGAGCATATTACACTTTTGGAAAATTTAGGTATTTGTCTTAGTCTTACATAGCTTACCTTAAATAATTCCGCATATATAAGTCATCATGCATACTATAATACTATATTTACATGAAATCTATATTGTTTATGTACATTAATAACAATGTATTAATCTCATATCTTTTAGTTTTTCTTTATTTTTATATATTTTAACATTTTTACTCAAAGAATTTGAAAATGCCAGGAAGTTGACTCGCTTAAACAAGGATTCAAAAAACAGTCCGTTCGGTGCCTAGGTGCCCGAGACCCTAAATACCAGACGCCTATGCCTAGGCAGCCCATTCTTGGCGGATGTACCTGGCAGGTGCCCAGGGCCGTGGGCCCTTTTCCATATTTTTTAGTTGCCCAAAAGGGCAAAGGGGGTCATTTTGACCCCCAAGATAGTATAAATATTTTGTAAGTGTATTTTTTAACCCCCCAAAGTTAAAAAGACACCCTCAATCTCTTTGCTAAAACTATTTATGAGAATCGAAGGTATTTTTTGTGCATTAAAAAGGTTCCTTAAAATTTTCTTTTCTCATTGGAATTATTTTTTGGGTGCTATTGGATGCATTAGAAGAATTTTTATTAGCTCGATTGAGGTTTGAATTTTAAATGTTTTGTATGGGGGTTACATAGCTTATTAGACTTTTAAATGTTTTGCATGGTTGAATTTTGAATTTTTGAACAAGTTTATTCTCAACATGCGATATGTCATATGTTTGTATATAGAAAAGTACGTTATAATATTTTCAAATGCAATAAATTACAAAATTAAAACAAACATATGCATATATGTGCGTTTGGACAGCAAATATAGGTATATATCTAAAACATTTATCCTACAGGGAGCCCGAGGTTGTGGGTGCCTGCCAGGTCACTAGGTGCCAAGCCGACAGCCTAAGGGCCGCCTAGTATTTTTTGAAACCTTGCGCTTGAGTCACAATTTGACCCAATTTTTGTACATGCGAGTCACAACCAAAGTGATGCAAGGAGAAAAATAATGAACAGAAGAATAAACTGACATAAAAAGGGTTGAGAGATTATACCCTCTCTTTGGGTCTAAAAATAGAAAGCTAAATTTTATCTTTCCCTTATCTCTTAAAAACAAGTCTTAACATATCCTAACCAACCCAACCATGCTAATCCCTATTCATGTCTATCTTTTTTTTAAAAACCAAACTTCCAATTCACCCCTCCAATCTCTACAACGAAAAGAGACAAGAATAACCTTAAAGAAAACTAAAAATCCAAATAACATATTTTCTATGTCCTAGAAAATATATAAAAAAAAAAAATCATTTTTTTTGTTTGCATCATTTTCCTGGGGTTGGGTCGAGCTTAAATCTTTCAGAAGCCTTCTAAAAAGTTGATGATGCAGTCCCAACATTCTTCTCGGTACTTTGTCTTCCATAAACCAATTTGTCACGTACTGTGTGAAACTTGAAGTAGTATACTGGGATCTCAAGCTTAATTTTAAATTTTTTTTAGACTCACAGGATTGGGTTTCAAATACTGCATCACACCATTTTTTTTCATAAATGTTTGGGTTATCGACATCATCTTTTATATAGGGATCTATCTCTTCATATCCTTTTGTTGCACTATACGAAGTCAATCTTGTAGATATTGTTGTATTGATCTGAGAAGATCTTCCATACGTCTATCGAATTGTTGACCCTGTTGGTCAAATATTTGATCAAATCGATCTAACGCTCCATAGGGTGTATGGATCTTGGATCTCAAGGCTTTGAAACCAAGTGATGCAGGGAGAAAAATAATAAATAAAAAATAAAATAAAATAAAAAGAGTTGAGAGATTATACCCTCTCTCTGGGTTTGCAAGGAAATCCACCCCAAGATTAAACTCTTTCCTTTATTCTCCAATCACTTCCCACAAGGAATGGACCTCTTCTCTTTAAATACAAACTAAAAAGAATAATAAATCAAATAAAATAAAAATGGAAAACTAAACTCTATCTCTCCCTTATCTCTTAAAAACAAATCTAGCATATCCTGATCAACCCAACCATGCTAATCCCTATCCATATCCATCGTTTTTTTTTTAAATTAAACTTCCAATTCTACCCCTTAAATCTCTACAACTAAAAAGGACAAAAATAATCTTAAAGAAAACAAACAATCGAGCAATTATTCTACAATGTCATGGAGTTTTTAGTTGGAAACCGTGAAGTCCATGGCTTTTGGGCAGTGGAGAAGCCATTTCCCAATTGAGACACCTGTCGTGAGTAATCAAGTCATTTCGGAGTTGGAGTTGAAGATCCATCTGAGACTGTGAGGAGATTGGGTTGAAGTTTCTTTTAATTCCTCCATTTTTGAGAGCTTCATAGCGACTGTTCAAGTTTTCGAAGTTCAAGCTGTAGACTATCATTTTCGCTTCATTGAGAACTGTGAATGGAGAGAAATCCGTCATTAGTGCTTCCTACCTCTAAACTATCAAACCTCCAACTGCAAAGGAGGCACAAGCCCATTCTCTACCTTTGTATAACTACTATCGTCAGTTCATAGATCCATCCTTAAACCAACCGCCTAGACAACCTAGTGCTATGCCCTCTTCTTGCAAGATCGCCACAGGCAAATCTTATGGACAGGCTGTTGAGACTAAAAATCCCATTGTTTCATCTTCATCATCTCACCCTGCATTTCAAGAAAGTGCACACTTCCCCCCTATCTGCCCCCAAAACTCCAATCTTAATGGAGTACCTTATATCTACTTTCCAAGGTCTGGCTAGATTTTAAAAACGGTTGTCTTCCCTTCGCAACTCCTTTGTGGCAACCTTGTCGGCACAGAGGAATGACCTTAGAGGTATTCTTAGGTGGTTCCAGACCATTTTCAAGATTAAACATATTTCTTGTGGGTTCCTCCACAATGGTAGATACCTCTTATTGATGTCGAATGACTTCGTTGCTCCAATTTCAGCTAATAAAACCTATCCTTTAGAGTAGTTCGTTTCTCCCTCAAGAAATGGGAGGAATCCCTGGGTGCCTCACGCTGCACCAAGTTTTGGATTTGGGTAGAAGGTATCCCGATGTATCTTTGGTCATAGTTGGTCTTCAAACCAATAGGTAATTCTTGTGGGGTCTGTATCTTTGTGCATTGGAAGTCGTTTGGTAAGTACCCTTTCAACGATGTAATTTTTTTGGTAGAATCCCCCAATGAGAATTCTATCCCTTCCACTCTATTTTTACAGTATAACGGTTTTTCCTTTCTAATTAAAATTTCCATTCAAAGCTCTGCAACTCCCTCCTGGAATGAAAGACGACCTCCGGACCTTGAAGGTTGGACTACCGTAGTCCACAAAAAGCATTCCCATGTGGTATCATACCTTACTCCACCTTCTTAGTGCTCCATGCCCTCATACTCCACTCTCGAAGCTCGTAACTCAATCTACCATACACCTATCCCCAGCCCAGATATCCCTCATATTGACCCCATCCATTGGGAGCCACCTCAGCAACCTCGAAATAAGCAACCCATCATTCCCTCCCTTCTCTTTCCAATGTCTCTCCCTTGCCACCTCAGCCACCTCGATCTAACCATCCTTTCTCCCTTTCCCATCATCCCCCACCAATCGAGTACCATCAACCGCCTCTTTCTCCAATTCACCCTCCCCCCATTAATGACGCATCTAATGCGTCCACTGTGGTGTCATCTTCCCTCCCTATGTTCTCTACCATGTGTCTTTTGCATACCATCCTCACTGTCCTTCCACCTTCAATAGGTCCCGTCATCTCCCTGCATGTGTCGCTTTCCACTCCCTCAATTAATGAGGAGCAGGTCGGTCCTGCTGAACTCCATGCCACGCGCCTTTCCAATGCCTCTCTTAGCTGACACATCACCTCAGATGACCGAGCCAAGCATGCCTCATGCCTTAAATACTCGTCAAACCTCCTCCTCCGTCAGCTTCCCTCAACCTTCTCGTTCCCCATCCCCTTCCCCACCACGATCACCTTTCTGCATCCCTGCCTCATCTTTCCCATCAACCTTACTCAAGAAAGGAAGTCTGCTCCTCCGATAATTTAACCATCATTCCTCTATTGGGGATTCAGAATGCCTTCTCGTCCTCCTCTTCCATCACCTTTAATGGCCCTGTTTCAGAC